AATTGCTAATTTAGCGACAGAAAAAAACCATCGCTAATTTAATTAAAACCATCATAAATTTTTTTTAAAAAAAAAAACCGTAGCTAAACTTCAAAAATTAGCGATGGTTTTTCAAATGAGTCGTTAAAATTATCTATTTAGCGACAGTTTTAACTCGTCGCTAAATTTTTTTTTAAATTTTTTACCCAAATTTTAATTGTTTTGAATTAACCTACTCGAGTTTAAAAACTAAAAATATATATTACAAAATTATTATAATATATAAATTTAACAAAATTAAATATATATTAAAATATTTTAACAAAAAATTTAATAAATTTTTTCCACAAAAAATAATCGAAATTAAAATACATTTTCATATTCTACTAATATCATCATATCTAATATTTTTTTAGTAAAAAAATTACGTATAATGTCGTGGTGAGTCGGTACATGCTTTAATATTGTTTACTTGATGGAGTGTATTAACCTAGAAGATAAAACAATATTGCGAGTCTTAATTATAAAGCATATTCGAAACTTTATAAACCAAAGTATTTCCAAAAAAGAAAAGTTAATATCATATGTATGAAATGAAAATCAATGGGCGGAGATATACTCACACACACACCAATATTATATATACACATTTAAGTCATTGATGGCGAATTAAGAAAGTGATGACCTTTGCTTTAGCAATTTTGCGTAGAGCTAATGATTTGATTCTTAATCCTTAAACTGCAAGGAATATGTTAATTAAACAATTAGAAATGAAAAACACTAAAGTGTGGGAAGAAATTAATAGCATGAACATAATGAAAATTACAAAACAAGACAATCATGATTTAATTTATTCACTCGCAATGAGCAATCACCGTAACTATAATTCCAGCAAGAGAAATGCCGACAAAAGCAACCAGAGCTTGAAGCGCGATATTATAAGCCACCGTTTCATTTGTAACTAGAGCCATCCCTTCTAAAAACACTACAATAGCGAAAACTAACAAAAAAACCATTATGGTCCACAACATATAAACAGAAAAGAGATAATTCTTTTTTAAAATTGCAATTGTTGATAAAAGCACAATTACTATAATATATAAAATTTAATAAAATTAACTAAAAAATTAATTATTTCAACAAAAAATTTAACTAATTAATTAATTAAACTAACACCATTTATTAAATATTGTAAGACCAATTAAATTATTTAAATACAAACAATTACACTTAATTTAATAACCAACTAAATAAAAATTATTAAACACATAATTAATTAAAATTACTCTTAAAATTTTATTTTAGACACAAATTGTTAAATTTCCTTATTGAGTAATTGACTTATTCAACAACTAAATAAACTTAATTAACAAACAAATAAATTAAAGTAATAATTAATTATATATCTTACACAATATTCATACAAGGTAATTGTAAACTAATTTTCTCAATTAACAACCAAATATATTATTTTAAACAATATTTTAATTTTTTTAATTAATAAATAATAAGTTTACTTAATTAAGGTTGAATTAACACCTATATATATAATTAAACTAAGACTAATATAATTAAATAATTTAATTTCCCTAAATTTAATTAATTTTATTAAAAATCACTTAATAAATAATTAATTTTTTATTTAATTAAATTAACACCACCTATTAAATATTTCAAAAGCAATTAAATTATTTAAATACAAACAATTACAATTAAATTAATAACCAACTAAATAAAAAATATTAAACATGTAATTAATTAGACTAACTCGTATAAAATTATTTAAATACAAATAATTACAATTAATTTAATAACCAACAAATAAAAATTACTTATAATAAAAAATTAATTAAAACTAACTACCAATTAATCAATAAATAATAAAACAACAGCAATTAACAATTAAATTTTCTAAATACAAACAATTAAACTAACTATTTAAAGAATAAATAATTAACAACAATAACACAATTAACAACAACAATTACATTAACAATTAACTAATAAATAATAAACAATAACAACAATTAACAATAATAATTAACAACAAAAATTAACATAAAATTTAATAATTGCAATAAAAAAAATTAATAAATGGATTACCAATAAGATACTATGAGGATTAGATGATGGAGGAGATGCCGCCAAGAAGAAGGAGGAGGCTGTTGTGCCACGGTGGTGCTGCTTGTCGTGGCATTGTTCACGATGGAGAGGGCGGATTAAGGGAGGTGGAGGGAAGGGGGAGAAAGAAAAAGAAAAAAGAGGAAGAAAAGGGGAGAGATGGAGGGGAAGAGGAAAATAAGAGGAAGAAAGAGATTTGAAGAACTTATGGAGATAATGAGAAGGAGAAAACCGCGACTGGAATAAGAAGAAAAAGAGAGGAAAAGAAAATTTGGGGAAAACATTTGGGTCTAGTGGCCATTTAGGGAATAGAACTTAAAAACCGTCGACGAGTTTTACATAAATATTCAATTTAGTTATTTTCCCCCAACGAGTCAAAATTTAGCGATGGTTTTCAAAATCGTCGCTAATTTTGGTATATTTGTTATGTTTTTTTGAAAAAAACCGTCACAACTTACTTACAAAGAAAAAATAAATAAAATTTAGCAACGACTTAAAAACCATCGGTAATTTTATCAAAAAATTAAAAATAGTCATTTTCCCCTTAACAATCAAAATTTAGCGACGGTTTTGAAAACCGTCGCTAATTTTGGTATATATGCGATGGCTTTTTTGGAAAAAACCATCACAAGTTCCTTATAAAGCAAAATAAAATAAAATTTAGCGATGGTTTTGAAAACTTTTGCTAATTTTGTGTCAATTTGCGACGGTTTGAAAAAAAGTCATAAAAATCTATCATATTTGACCGAAATAGCGACGATTTTAAAAATCGTCGCTAAACTTCTCACAAATGACCTTTTTTGTCTAACCATCACAATTTTTTGTTGATTAGGGACGGTTTAAAAAATCGTCGCTAATATCCCATCGCAAACTACAATTATTTTTGTAGTGTTGTAGCAATTTCATCACTACCATCTCTAAAACACCCAAAACGATTTTGACGTCACAAATAGCAATGAAATATCATCCATCGTTGATAAATCGTAGTCAAACCATTTCTATTCCGTCATTAAATCAAACAGATGCTATTCGGTTATTATTTACTCACTATTTAGTGATAAAATGTTGTTCACTAAAATCCATCGCTTTTTTTATTATTTTATTATAGCGAAACCTATTAAAAAAATGTAAGAAATTTGTGTTGCGAGCGCAAGAGGATTATGAATAAGAACAAAAATATATGGACTTGCTACCCTATAGCTCATGAATAGCAATGATCCTACCAACTTGGATGAATAGAAAGGCAAAGATTTTAATTTTTTTTATCATATATAATTTCATAATTTGATTAGCTAGGAGGCAAGAATTTAAAATTAACAAATATTGTTGAATATAAATAGTGATGTCGTAAGCATTATAAATGCGGCTTGTTTTTATTATTGGTAGAGATAGATCTTATTGACTCTAGGTGTCCATCTTCCAAGGATATGATTGGACGAATCCGACGAATCCAAAAAAACTGTAGACCTCTTGTATGATACAAATGCCTATCTTCAATATTTATCTATCCATCTAAAATATGACTGGATGACATCAAATGTGAAACATGAAGCTTATTAGAGATTAACATAAATTATATTTTAAGGATTCATTTATCAATTTAAGTTTTTAGGTGAGATGGTTCTTTAATATGTTATCATCTTAATTGATCAAAAGGTTCTAAGTTCAAGTTTCACCATCTCTAATTTCTCAAGTTTTATCATCCCTAATTTCTCAAGTATTAAGCACAAAACAACGTGAACCAGGTGCAAGTATAAATTATGTTATAAGAGCTCACCTATCATCTTAAGTTTTTAAATGAGATAATCCTTTAACAAAACCCTTTTATGGATTTGTCAATATTGTGAGTATTAGTGAAGCTTTTTTTTTGGTACACATGTTCGAATTGTACGGTTAATATGATTTTTAACTTTAGTATAAAATAAATAGAATTAAATGAAGGGACTAATTTTGTTCAAAGAATGAAGAGTTTTTTTGGTCGACAAATTATAAAAACTGGTGGAAGGGGATATATAGCAAGATACAAGTAATAAACTAGTAATATAATTTTGCTACATAGCAGTCGCGGATATATGGCAAGATACAAGAAATAACTTAAACCTTTTTTAGTTAAAACTTTATTTTTTGGGTGTTTTCAACTATGAATAATTAGTGATGTGATTATATACTTTCTGAAATTAAAGGTTTCAAATTGCACTTTTTAACTTAAATAATTCTTTGAAGGTTGCAAGAGCAAAAACGCAATAAAAAGATGAAATTTTAGGACCCAGATGTACTTGTGCATTAGGGTGCTAAAAAGGTGTGTAACAACTCCCTTTAATTTGCAGCAAGTTCCGAATTCTGATGAGAGAGATCTTGATTTCTTGTAGGTGGACAAAATTTGTCTCTACATAATCGTACTTCCTCAGTACTATATAAAACGAACAAAGAACAGCATGGGCGACCTTTGGGAACTTGATCTTGTACAAAAATTCCATGAGTGAGCAATATCAATTACCAGGGCTTTCACCTCCAGAATTAAATCGTATGTATAAACAGTTCTGCACGGTATTAGCATTTAGAAATCAAGCCAACTTAGATGCCAAATATAAAGATGCACGCTTTACACATAGTAGATAAATATTGCATCTTTTTGCTAAAAAAATTAACAAAATTTTAGAAGAAATTATGACCCACGAGCGGAGAGAAAGACAGCAGTAATACCATTGCATTCACAGGATCAACAAACTGTGTCATGCCTTTCCAAATGGACAACAGTCAACTTGAACATTACTTATTGATTACAACAGAACAGAGTAACCACACTGGAGTCAGATCACAAATAAATGGATTGCTGTATCATGCATATACACAACACGACCACGTGGGCAGCACCTTCAAAGGATAACTTGTGTAGGGCATCAACTTTTTTGATGAACAGCAATTTGATGAATGTCCATCTCCTTCAACATCACAGATCGCCCACATGAGTCACATGGGGCAGTTCTTGATCCACAAACACTCTCATGCTCAGTTAATCCTTTTAGTCGGTCACGCACATCCATAGCCGAGGTCCCAGCTTGAACCATGTCACCGCAAAACCGGCATGTAATAAGACGGAGGGGACAGATTGAAGCTTGGTGTTGTACCTGCCACAGGCAAATGAATAGGTGAATACGACATTGCTAAGAAATGTAGAATTAAATAAGTAACCATGCTCATGATTTCATGCAGAAGAAATACAACCCTTAAAAAGCTTCATTTGTTTCACGCAGAACTTTGGGGCAATTGTCAGCAGACTAAGGATACTGCATTTTAAAATTCAATTTTAAGTTCTAACTTGAGGTACAAAACCCAGTATTTATCATCACCAGCCAGATGGAACCAAATGAAACTTCAACCAGTTAAAAATTATATCCATCATCTGAAACAAACAGAAGATCAGCTTTGGACCATTCTAATCTTCCATTCTACATTATGCCAAATATCATCTGAACATAAGGGTTCAAGTTTATTTATCTTTGACAATGCATTGGATGTTTTATGTGCCTTTGATAACCAATTGGCTACACTACCCCTTTGATTGGTTAAGCAAATCTACACTAATCAGACAGTAAAATAAACCAATGTATTATCTTAAGAAGAAAAGAATAAGTGAGATTTGCATTGCTTACCATCTGTTCCTTTTCAAGGAACACTCCACAAGGGCATTGAAGTGGCTCATGGAACACCTTCATGTGCTTCTCTATTTCACCCCGTTGAAAAGCTTGCCCACATTTGTCACAGTGTAAATGATTTTTGGATTCTTCATTCCTCAGAACAATTCCACAACCAGGATGCGGACAAACAATATTATGTCTGCTACAAAAAGCTTCGTGCAATGCTATACTTCTGCTTGGTATAAAATGCTTGCAGTTCCTACACTCTACAGTATCGATGTCCATGGATGATGAAGATCCAGCTTGTTGACCAACCTTGCGGTTGCTATTCTCTTGAACACTCGCTGATACCTTATACTTTGTAGTTCCTTTAAAACCATGTACACCAATGCTGTAAGCACTCATTCCCAAGTTCTTATCCTTAGAGCTAAGTATCAAAACTTTTGAACCTATATCATGGGAAGACCATTCATGTTGGTGTCTGGTTGGAAACATGAGGGGATGCTTTGATATGTAAAGATCAGTATCACCATTATCGGTCTCAGCCTCTATCCTTACTTCAACCCTAAAATCCTCAGCAGCAATTTTGTCCCAAATATCATTATCAATAGAGAATTTATAATAGTTATAGTTTCCTTCTTCGACTATTCCAGATTCTGCCTTCCCAAATATAAGAGGCTTCAGCACAGGTTGACTGCTCTCCAGACCTGAATCTGGACCAACAACATCAACCTCAATATCTGTTTCCAAGACAGAGACACTCGACGAAGGTCTTAACTCCAAAACTTGTAACTTGTAAGTCAGTATCCCATGGTGGACCGTGATAATATCACCTTGAGAAAGAGTAGAATGCTGCCGAAGGCTTGTTTCCAGGACAGCCTTGTGATTGGGTACATCTGAAAATCCAACAACATCCGGTTGAAGTTTTGCATAAGTTCCTTTAGGCAGCCACACATACCGAACCTCCATCAAAGGAGCCTTTGGAGAATCTACAGGAAAGAGGTTATCCCATACATGAGGAGGAAGCCCTACTGACCCTTCCTCGGCAGTAAACTCAAGAACACCTGAGTGGGTTGTTGACTGCTTTGAGTCAGTGTTAATGACATCTGAAGAACCTTCTTGATGAACTACTGATAATTGGAAATACAAAGGTCCTTTATCAAATGCATCAGACAATTCTGTGAAGCAAGAAAACGGTAATTTAATCTTATCTCCACTGCCCTGAAAAGATACAGCTTCTAGGATGCGAGAAAATAATATTCCTCTCCCTGCAAGCAAATTTTCTTGCATTTGCTCATCAGCCTGCAGAGGAAACCAACTTCTTGTGAGCACATAAAAAGGACCGTTAACATTATATGTCAAAATAATAATAATAATAATAAATTTGGAAGAGAAAAACAAGAAACAGGAATATCCTACAGCACTTAATACATATGTAATTAATAAATATGTCATGCGACTCACGTCTATCTATTTTGTCAAGCAACATCCCATAATTATGTTAAAAAATTTCCACTTCATATTGAGATCAATGCGGCAACCACTGATCACTTTGCTGCCAAAAACTTTCTGTTTCTATAAATCATGACGAAATGATGAAAGTTCTTTGCAACACGAGGTGAATTAGGTTAGAGAACTCATATTTCAATAAATCTAGAAAGTAAGAAAGAAAAATGACTTTTTCAACCATTTGATTACGACTCAGAGCAGCTTTTAAATCATTCAATTATGATTCAAAGCAACTTTTCAACAACAAATAAGTCACGCCAAGTGCATTCGAATCCTCAATAAATTGCCAATACCATGAAAACTACAAGGAGAGTTTTTGCAGAAATAGAAGAAGACAAGTAACTGAAGCCATCATGTCAGTTAAATTCAAGTTAGCCTGACCACAGTCCTGCTATAAAATCAAGGCATTAATATATCCTTTTCCATCTTTTGATCATCTATAGTTCCCTCCGGCTGACGAATAGAATACATCGAATCAGAATTAGATGTAGCATTTAACAGCAGAATAGATGCAATCCACATCCCACAAAAGTTCGAGGCCAAACAAATATTCAGTGTATGTTGCTTATATAGGTTAAAAGTTCAAAAAGAAAAAAGAAAATAATTAATCTTAATTAACATAACATAATCCCCACAAATTTGGTCAGTTATCCATGTTGTCTGAAATTTCACGACAAACAGGGAATAGAGAGCAATCAAATCGATTAACCAAGGAAATCAAAGAAAGCGAGCATAATTTAAAGAGACAATAAAAAGAAAGGGGTATGAAAAAGGAGCGACCTTGAGCTGGGCTTGAATGGCACCGAGCCTACGAGATCGTTGCACAGCTTCAATGGCATCTCTTTGCTTTCTTGCCTCTTCTTTTGCTTTCCTCTCTCTATCAAGTTTCAGTTTGGCTCTTTCTTTCCTCTCGCTTTGTTCTTTCTCTAACTTCTCTCTCGCTCTTCTCAGTTCAAAATCCATCTCCCTCTCTCTCTCTCTCTCTCTCTCTCTCTACAAGATCAAATCGTCGAGGAATATATAAGTTTGGTACTGTCCATATTTCTATAATAAAAAATAAAAAATTATGGTCGGTGAGGAATGAGGACGCAAAGTTGGACTTACGGTCGATGAAGAGATTAAAATAAATAAAAAAGAAATAGAGATCAGAGCTGGATGTTGGCTCCAAATTCCAGAAGGATCTAGGCCTTTCTTTCTTCGTTTTTAAGATATAAATGTGCCCAGTTCTTAGGAGAAGGCCCTGATGTGAGGCCCAGTTATGTACAACTAACCCAATTGAGATCCATATGCTGCCCCAACTCTCTCTCCATGTCCAAGACATAGGTGAGTAATGAGGCCCAGCAAAAGCTATCCTGTCAAAATTCAAATACTTCATGTGGCAAATTACAAATTATTCCCACCATTCTGTTCTGTAGAGACCAATGAGATTATATATTTTGTGCTCCTAGGTAGATTCGAAGGTAAAAATTGCTCTCAGCTTCGATTCGGTCTCCCTTCGCAGATCAATTTATTTATTAATTGAGATTAGATCTCATTCTTGAATGATTTTAAAATCGTATCTTTTATATCAATTAACCTGATATATTAAAAGAAAATAATTTCTTCTGAAAACTAACTCACACATTTAAAATTGGAAAATCAAATAAGGAAGGCTAATTTCATCAATGGCAACAAAGCAATGTTGCATTCGAATTGTAAGGCATCTTAATAACGAACGAAATGAAATTACACCCTCTTCATTTATGCAATATATATATATATTCCATACGAAGCAAAAATATCTATAGGTTCTATACACACACACACACATGTGTGTGTGTGTGTGGAACCTATAGATATTTGCTTCGTATGGAATCCGTTCTTCCTACTCGATGCTGTCCTTTCAACCGGCTTTCGGGGCTTTGCTGCCATTCCTGATCGAGAGATGATGTTTACATGGTCATTGGAACTGCTTGTTAATTTTTCATTCCAGCAAGTGTTCATGAGACTAATTACTTGCCTTTAATGTAGCACTTACTTGAAACCAAACAAACCTTAACACAGTGGTTCATATCTATATAAGAAGAACATATCCATCGCAGAACAAAAAAGATTTATTTTTTATTTTTTATTTACTAGGAAAAACATAGCATGATTTTGGACATGACAAAGTTAATGTGATTATACTGTTCTGAAATGTGTGTTTTAATAGATACCAGAGTCTATATATGTAATGTTTGTTCAAGTTTTACATGTTTTCGTTCATCAACATCAACTAATGGAACCGAGTTCATCAAAGAGCAATCTTTCTCACCCAATATTCTCTCTATATTGTTTAATGCATCCTTGGCTGCTCTATTGTGCGCAATTTCTTTCTTCAGACCATAGGTCCCTCTTCCCACAAGCTGGCCACCCACAAAGACATCAAAAGCCATGTTATCTTTCCACAAGTCCACAAATTTTACTTGGAGATTTCTCTTCTGGCACACTTCATACAGCTGAGTCACAGGATGTACTTTCAGCGTTTCGTGGCTGATTATCGGCTCCAACAAATCCTTAAACACCTAACCAAAGACAAATGGCTACCTAATTTTATTTTTTAATAAACAAATCATATATGACATTTCTTCTTCAATATTCTGTGACCTTAGTAAATGGTAAAGAGGGAGTAGTGTGTGTATAGATATTTACCTTCCAGACAGCATCAATGGAGGAATCGCTATCAATGAAAACAGCTCCTATCGTTGATTCAACAATGTCAGCCAGGGCCTTTGGGGCGTCAACAAGCCCGTTGGAGTGCAAGGGATAGTCCAAAATGGCTTGAGAGAATTCCCGAATCTGTTTTTTTTCGTGAATCATGAAAACAAGTCATAAAATAAATAATTTAGAACATTATCATATGCTCCACTATATTTTGAAAACGGATCAAGACAAATCAAGTAAACATTAGTGGTTTGTTTGGCTGCCCCAAAAAGGAGGAAAAAAATTGTGAGTGATGAATTCTGTTAATTTCCCATTTGAGCAATGTTAAGAATTTTTCCAAATTAATTTTTGAATATTTAAGGGGAATTCCAAACTTTAGATCGATACATCTTGTTAGCGAACCTTATAAATCTAATAGTTAGCATTTTTCTAAAAATAAATTCGAGAGACAACTTCAATAAGATTTGCATTACTCGTATCTCAATACCAAATTAATACGGAATGACAACTAATAAATCCAAAAATAATATATATAGTGGGTTAAAATTAGAATGAAGGTAATTCATCAAGATATATATTCCTTAAATAAAAATACAAATAAAAAAAAACAAAAATTCAGGGATTTCTTGGGATCTACAACTTCTAGGAGAAATTTCAGAGAGAAATTAAGGTTCCAAATACATCATTCAGCTCAAGGTTGCATCAAAACCATTGAAAATTTTATATAATTTGATCCGAACATGCTAGTAGTTTATTTTTCTATAACTATAACTCGAACTAAGGCGCAGTAAATTAAAGGGCAACATGAGTCACGAGAGTCTTGAGCTCTGGCCAAAAAGGAGTCATATTACCATAAACATCAAAAGTAAAACTGTAATGTTAGAGTCCAAGATTGGATGCAGCAGAAAAATCATATTTCATCATCCAATCTGACGAGACATGCATTGACACATATTTCGGTAGTTCGGTGTATTAATTTGCTGTCTTGCATTTAATGCAGCATAAGTTAGCAACGTTAATTAACATACACATGCCATGTGTTATGTGAAGCATTTCTTCATCAGGATTAAATGTTTAGGATAGGATTGACATAGAATTTAGCTTCCAGATCTACCATAATCTTAAATTTAACAAGTTAATTTAAGATTAGTTCATTTTGATAATTCATTATATATATATATATATATATAGGATACGTATAATTCCATTCCATCCATACAGTGAGTTTGAGCAAGTGCGACAACTCAGTGATATTGATATGACCCTGCTAGATTATATTGGATATATTTCATTCAATATAATATAATTTATATTATGTTTTTAAACTATTATTTATTTTTTTTGGATAAAAGTTGTTTCTTTATTAGCTTCCATTTGATTTTATCAACAGATAAAAAATGTGTTAATCGTTGATTAAAGTTTTTTTTTTGGAAAAATTCTTTTTTTTCCTTTGAGCTAAATTTTTTCACAAAATACTATTGAAAAATTGATTTTTTCAAACCTTTTTAAGGTGGGAATTTTTTTATATATTATTAATACCATAAATCATGAAAAATTAGAATACTTACTATTCATCTTGAAAATTTTTGAAATTGATTTTGGAACTAGATTGAATTTTCCTTAGAATTAATAAAAAATCTCACCTTAAAAGTACCAAAAACTGATTATTTAGGGAGGTTTTGCTCTATAGTTAAAGTTGATCTTTAATTATGTATAATTAGTCAAACATATATCTTATTCTAAAATCACTACACCTTATAAATCGCAACAGTAAGAGGCCGATCGAGGCTTCTAACTTATTTGATTAGTTCAAAGTCAGTAAGAGGCCGAGTTTTCTTACTTATTTGATTAGTTCAAAGTCAGTCTTAAAAAACCGAAAAACAGGTTCAAGAAATCGAGAAATTAATACTCGCTCTCTTCTAATTCTTAAAAATATTGTTTTGTTTTTTATTTTTGTGTCTTAAAATTTTCGTCTCAATCAAATTTTAAGTAAATATTTCCCTGCAATGCTTCTAATTAAAATCCATTTGTTAAGAGACTTATCACTACAAGAAAAGTATTTTAAAAAAAACTATGAATAAAATAAGATGATATACCATAATAATTAATGAGTTTTTAATCTATATAAAAAGAAAAATATAAAAAATAAATTAGAAGGAGAGAGTTGTGTTTTTTTTTTTTTTTTGAGATAATAAATAATAATAAATCCGCTATGTTGTGTAACTTACTTGTTCCTCAAGAACTGGTTTCTTGTGGCGCAAATACCGATGCAACCCGTGTTTGATGGCCACACGTGCCAGCTTCTCTGTATCCACATTAGCTGCCCTGAGTCGGGTCAAAGCCCCTGGTGGCAAATCCGGGTACATGAAATACTGTTCTTTAGTAAAAAGCAGGTTGAGCACCGAGTCACCGACGTACTCTAAACGCTCGTAGGAAGAACACTTATCAGGGAAAGAGGCATGTGTAAAAGCCTCCTCTAATAGTTTCTTGTTCTTGAACTTGTAATTAAGAATCCCCTCAACGTCATCCAGACTCGGCAACCACCCCGCCGTCTGGTGGGTGGCTGTCATATACCCAGAAGACAGCTCCTCTGACTGATGATTTCTTTCTTTTCTCGTCTCTTCATAATTTTCTGATCTTATGTCAAGCACTTTTATCATGCCAACTGCTGCTGCTTCTTGCTGGAGCTCCATCTTGCCTTGGTGGGTCAATGTTGGAATGGTAGAATAGACGAAGAAGAATAGGATACACTTGTAAGAGTCGAGAGAACTCTAAAGATTGGGATTACGTGCAAATAAATATAGACCAATGAATGTGAAATTCAATAAAAAAGAAGAAGAAGAAGAAGAAGAAGAAGAAGAAAAACTATGATGGGAAATTAAGAATCAACTAGAAAGTCAAAATATTAAAAAGGCGGTGTGTTGTTTTGACAGAACAGAGTCGGCCATGATTTTGGACTTCTTCAGTTTTTTGAAAGGGCTTATATGGGAAAAGAAAAATTCGGTAGGAAAGGGAAGTTTGAACCATTTTAGAATGCCCACCCAGACCAGTAGATCTGAATACAAATGTAAATCAACGGTCTAGATTTGCTTCCTTGACGTCGGTACTGATTATTAATGGGGTTTTTACCGAGAGATAAATATTTCTTTTTCTAATAATATAGTATTAATTTGTGAATTAATGAATTTCCTTTTTTGGTATGCTGGTGAGTAGTGAATAGTACTGACCCGATAAATATTAATAAATAAATAAAGACCCATGTAAAAATCCAAATACTATCGTTATCTCATAAAACACAAGGAATAATAAAAATAAAATAAAAATTACAGAAAATAAAATGAAATTCACTTAACTATTTTAAAGTAGATTTTACATAAAAGTGAGAGTGCACTGAATTTGGTTAATTTATGATCGATTTGGTATATTTATTACTATTTATAAGTTGCATGCCCACATTCTCTTGATTATTATTAAGGATAAAAAATGCATGGTTTGGTAATCATTTCTTGATCACGTAAAGCAGATTTCCCTTTTACATACTACTATTTATAAAGTCACTGAATTAAAAGCTGGCCTCGTTCTGCAGAAATCCAAATAAATTATAAATTGATGAAAAGGCATTCATTTACACGTGTTAAAAAACATCAGCTTTTAAGCAAATAATTTTTCCACCATCAATGATTATCTTAATTGCTTTAATTTTGTTCCCTTATTTAATTATATATCGAGAATCTCTATCCCTAAATTATTATCAAGATTTTACGTCCCTTTTAATTTATATTTTCACACACAAACATATATATATAGTAACATATTTATTGATTATTTTTTTCATTATAAAAAAAAAATTGTATTCGAGATTTATATTAGTTGAATTATAAATTAATTAATTTTTTCATGCTAATTTCTAATTCTTTTTTACTTATTCTAAATACATGTAGAATTTATATCCTTTCATTTCAATTTTGTTTTTTGGAAAGAAACGTGTTTCTTACTCTAACAAAATACATGTGCATTCACTTTATTTCAATAAGTAGTTGAAGATCTATCAAAAAGTAATAATAATAATAATAACTAGTTGAAATGCCAATGCTTGCAATGTTTTGTATTTATTTGTAAATTCGAAGAACTATTACTTAATTCGTAGTAAGAAAATTTATAGATACTTTATATAAAAAAAAATTATAAATTGCAATTATTTTATGAGACATTATTGGTTCATGTAATTTTTTTTTTAACTGAGCATAAATACAAGTAACATATTATGGTGCTAAAGGATATATAATGAAACCTTTTAATTTTTTTTGTTGAAGCAACTCCAACCAAGCCTTTTTTTTTTTCCCTATTTCTATCTATTTATACGAACCATGAAATCTCTATATATATGAAATAATGTCCAAATGAATTTTTATATTTGCATCCTTTTTTTTTCAATTAATGTGTCTTTTAAACCTAGGTAACTATATCTTCCAAATTAAGAGAATTTATGTAATTAATTGTATTTAAATCTTATTTCCAAGAAATAAAATACAATGAAACTTTAATTTTTGATACGCCAATCCAAATGAAGCTCGTTTATGTGTCAACATGGCAGCCATTTAGACATGGAACTTTCTTCAAGATTTGGATTAATCTTTAATTCGTGTTCGTTTTTAAAAACACGATCCTCAAATTTCAAATCTTAAATTTAGTTTTAAATTTAATGATTTGAATTAAATGAGAGAAATAAAATATGACATAAGTTGAGAGATTTGCTAAGTTGCTCATTCAACATCATCTAAACACATTTATTACTTTTCATTTTTATTGATTTTCATTATAAATGGTAGTAAAAAATCCATCTTTAATTAAAAGTATAATTTATATCGAAAACTGAATTTTTAATTGTACGACAAACATAACATCAACAAAAACTTTATTTCCTCTTCCCACCAAAGCAAAGATGTTTTTTTCCCCCACAAAACAAACATTTTTCACTACAAAAAACACAAAGGATTTGCGAGGAGAAATTAGCGACGGTCTCAAAACCGTCGCCAATTTACTAAAATTGTGACGGTTTGAAGCCTTTTAGTGAGAGAAATTAGCGACGGTTTTTTGTGATGGTTTTTTTCACAAAATCGTCGCTAATTTCAATTTTTTTGAAAAAAAATTTCTGCAACCATTTTTTGCGACGGTTTTTGTAAAAAAACCGTTGCTAATCATGGAAATTAGCAACGGTTTTTTGTGATGGTTTCCTCCAAAAAAACCCATCGCTAATTCATTTTTTTAAGAAAAAAATTTATGTAACCATTTTTTGCGACGGTTTTTGTAAAAAAACCGTTGCTAATCACGAAAATTAGCGACGGTTTTTTATGACGGTTTTTTATAAAAAAAAACTGTCACTAATTTCAATTTTTTCAAAAAATTTTATTACTTTCAGCCTTTTTTGCGATGGTTTTTTTACCAAAAAACATCGCAAAATTAGTAAATTAGCGACGAGTCTAAAAATCGTCGCTAAACCGTTACTAATTAAGAGGGAAATGGCTATTTTTTTAACTTTTTTAGACATTTAGTGATCGTTTTAGCAACGGTTTTTAGACCGTCGCTAAAACTTTCAACCTCCTATATAACAATTGGCCTAAAAATTTGCAAGAAAAAATTTATTCTCTCTCTTCTTCTTCTTTTTCTCCAACACCGATCTCCCTTCCATTTTCATTAAATCTTCCCCCTCTCTTTTTATTTTCCTTCCAATCTCCTCCTTCCCTTTCTTCACTCCATCTCTCGCCCTTTCTTCCTCCTTTTCCTCTTTCTTTCTTCCTTTCTCCCCCTTCATCAACCGGCCATTTTTCGGACGGAATAGTCCGACGAAGCCTCTCCACCAACACAACCCACTCTCCTCCTTGTGTTGGTGAAAGGTCCTCCCTCATCTAACCTCTTAATTAATTTTTTAATTTTTTTCAATTATTTACTTAATTTAATTTTAAAGTTTTTTGTTATTGTTAATTGGTAAGAAATTTTAATTCTTATTAATTGTTTAATTATTAATTTAATTGTTAATTTAGTTAGTTTATTATTAAATGTTATTTATTAATTTAGTTAGTTTAATTGATGGTATTTTGGAAAGTTAATTATTTTAGAAAATTGTTAATAAGTTATTAGCAATTGGTCAATTTAAAATGAGGATAAAATAATAATAATAATAATATTTTAGCAACGGTCTAGACCGTTGCTAAGATCGTCGCTAATTTTTTTTTGCAATGGAATTAGCGACGGTCTAAACCGTTGCTAATTTTTTTACAATAAAATTAACAATTAGTCAATTTAAAATGATGATAAAAAAAAATAATATTTTAGCAATAGTTTGGATCGTTGCTAATTTGTTTGCGACGGAATTAGCGACGATCTAGATCGTTGCTAATTTTTTTTGCGATAAAATTAACAATTAGTCAATTTAAAATGAGGATAAAAAAAAAAATTTAGCAACGGTCTAGACCGTTGCTAATTTGTTTGCAACGGAATTAGCGACGGTCTAGACCGTTGCTAATTCTAAATATTAGCGACGAGTCTAAAACCCTCACTAAAATCGTCACAAAACTACGACGGTTTTTTAATTTTGCGACGGTTGTTTCCATTGCTAAAGTAGCAACGGTCTGAAAACCGTCACAAAAGTTTAACGATTGGCATTTTACCGACGGTTTTTGGACCGTCGCAAATCCATCGCTAATTAAAATTAGCGACCGATTTTAGCGATTTAGCGAATTAGAGACGGTCTAGACCGTCGCTAATTCTATTTTTTTTTTAGTGCTTATTCTCATATGGTGAAAAAATACAAAACCAATTGTACCACTATTAAACGATATTATATTGATATTTATCAAATTGTGGACTTCTAAACAAGATTATATTAATATCTTGCTATAATTTTATTGATTTTCAATTAAGAGACATTTATAATGCAGAAGCCACAAATATGACTGACTGTTAATTGTAAGTTATAATTGAGCATCTAGGTCAATTTAGTAATTGTCTAATAGTAGTCAAAGATCTCAATTTCATAAGCAAACTGCTACGTACAATTGTTTGCAATAAATTCTAGAATTAAAAAAAAAAAGCGAGGTTAATTAGAAAATATAAGTACTTAAGTTTTTTTTTTTTAATCATATATTAAATCACGTCTATTTTATAACCTGTATTAGATTTGTTTTCTCAAGTTTTTTCCTAAATCAATACACTTTTAAATCTTTATTCCATAAATGAAATACTTTTAAATTTAATTCTTAAACAAATGCATTTTTTTGCCACATCAGATTTTTTTTTATCTATGTTATTTTTTTTAATTGCTGAAAAATAATTTCTTTATTGTAAATAGTTTCTTTAAATTTCAATTTTCATAGCAGTCACAGAAAAGTATTGGTATGGTAGCCTATCATAGGCATTATGAAACTTTCATGGATATTTCATAAACAAATTATTTAAAACTCACGTACCTAAAATCTATACAAATTATATACTAAGATGGATATTTAGGTTACTTAATACAAAACTATTAATTGTGAATAAATTAAAAAAAATTGACAAGAACCTACAAAAATAAAGAATAAATCAATTAATAGCTAAAAGGTAAAATTGATATAAGTTGCAAAAATTAATAAATGAAAAAAAAAAAAAACTCAAATAAGAATGAATAACTTTGGTCGATTTGGTTAGCTTGTCTAATAAAACAGGATGAAGGAGCAGCCATTGCAAACAGATAAGAGGTTGTCTTCTGAATGCCATCATTACGAAGAGTGGCTAAGGAGAGAGGGGTTAGGGTTTTAGACATGGCTCCAAAACCCATGGCAGAAAGGAGAAGAGGATTTGGTTGGTTTTGTTGTTTTTATTGCTTGGGTTGTAACGTAGTGAATGGCTTGGATTTAAGCATGTGGGCTAAGCAGGTGAGAAGTTCATTGAGAATTTTGATTGAGCACCTTGTGTGCATGGTAATAGGCATTCCATTCAAGATCATGTCTATAATATTATAATTAAAATATGATATATCTGCATAATAGTTGACAGACAAAAAATGAATTAAAATTTAAAAGATTTTAATATGTTTAAGACTATTATTCAAATTTTGACAAGGCAGTTAATGAAAAAAAGAAAATTCAAAATTCATATTCTTTTAATTTTTTGTGAAATAATATTTTAGTTTTAATTAAAATTTTACCAGTATAATAAGACAAAAAATATATAAAAATTACTGAGATGGAGCTTACATGGCATATAGTATCCTAGATTGGGAAATAAGTTTAAAACAACCATATTTTTGTAATATAGATTTAAAACAACCCTATTTATTTATTTTAAAAAAAAAACTCTTGTTTTCTCCTTTTTTTATTTATATATAGGACAGAAGCATACACATAAATATATATAGGCAAAATTCTAACAAGTGTGGTTAGAGTATCCATTCAACATTATCTAAATACATTTATTATACTTCATTTATTGTTGTATTTTGATAATAAAAAAACAAAAATTAAATATTTGAATGAAAATGAATGAAATTGATTATAAATTAAGTGTTATTTTAAGTAATAATAATAAATTCTATAACTAAAACGTAAAGTAAAGATCAATTAGTTTGAGTCATTAAAGAACTCTTAACATGTATGTTAAGAGCACCCGTGCAATTACATCATACGTTTGGGAAAAAGAAAATAACAATGTGCGGTTCGGTCGGATTAAGGTTTTATGATGAAACTAAAGTGTTAGAGGCACCGGCCCCTGCCCCTAAGTCCTCGCATGTGCATTATTTAAAGCTTAGTCGTTTTCTGGAAGTTAAGAGTAAGAGTCCTTGCAGCGTTTGTTCTTGTCCTCAGAAGAAAAGTACTCTTGTCTAAATCATTGTGTTTAGACAAACAATGGTATATCCTGTCCCAGCCGATAAAAGTATCTACGTAATTAAAAAGAAAAATACTTGATGAGACAACATTTTTAAAAATATAAAATTTTTAAAAATAAATTTTAAAAATAAAAATATTAAATGACATAATAGCTATTGAAATTTTTAAATTAAAATTTTATAACACCATGCTTATAAAATTATAATAACTTACACTATTGATATCTTGTATCGCTAATCAATTAGAAATGTTTTTCCCCGCCTTACATTACATGACACAACCTTGCATTTGCATCGGGTCATGGCATGGCATGGGCCACTATCTGTTTATGGCATCCAGTAAAAGATAAGACAAATCTGAAAAATACATCCAAACTTTATCATCAAATAATTTTGAATCAATAATTCATTTTGTATTTATATAATAATATAAGATTTCAATATGTTTTCAATTGTTAAGATCACGCACAAATTTTTTGATCGGGAAATCTTTAATTAAAATGCAAAAATAAATAAATAAATCTAAAGATTTAAAAAATAGGATATGCAAATCATGTGATTTTTTTTTATCATTCAGTCAAGAGTATTTTGGTCAAAAATTACTCATAGTCGAAAAAATTGACCATAAAATAAATTAAAAACTAAAATAATATTCAGACATATAATAAATATAATTAGAAATGCATAAACATATTAGAAACTCAAACTATTATATAAAAAATTGAGGTATTTGCTCAATAATTTTTATATCAATTTTATTCTTGAACTATCAAAAATTATCAATCAAAGATTCTATCTATTTTTAAAGATTTTCATTCATATTTCAATTCAAATTGTACTTTTTTTGTGTGCAAAACAAAGTCAATTTATAGAAAATTTAATGTTGATTATAACATAAATATTAATTGAGAAATCAAATTAGTTTTGAGAGTAAAATTAATACAAAAAATAGTCTGGGAGTATACTTGAGGTTTGCCGAAAATAGATTAATGGAAAACCAGCCAATTTTCAAACTTCCTTTTTACAACAGCTCAAATTAGCTGAGGAAAGTGCAAACAAGAAGCCACCTCTCTCCCTCAACTCAAAGAGTCACTGTCCAAAACTCTCCTTTTAGGGCCGTGGGGTGTCATTGTTAAAAGAGCAATGTCAGCGCTTCATGCAAGCCAAGCTTTGCCATATGAAGACACGGAGAGTTCTGGACAAACCGTCTTTCTTGATTAGGCAATTAAGAGGAGTGCTTTGTTTAATGGGAGGAAGCTTCACATGCATTTAAAGAATGGGCGGATTTCCCTTCCTCGATATGGATTCCTTCCTGGGAACTCAGTCACGCTTTGTCGTCCGTCTCTCAGCTTGTTGCTTGGAACCGAAGAAAAATTGGTGCTTAATTCCCATAAATGTGTAATTTATGTCACTTTCCCAACTGTATTATGCCGCTACAATTTATTGCAATCGCTTGGACAAGATGGCAATCAAAACCAAAATCGCAAATTATCTGACATCTTCGCCTTTTGTCCTTCTCCAAGGATCCCTTGATTCAAACGGTTACATTCGGAAATAGCCTTTTTTTTTAAAAAAAAAAAAAAAAAAGATCTACCAAAATTCTGCTATAATAACCAAAAAAGATCCACCAAAAAACAGAAAGGACTACGGAATCAAAGACAAGCGAGGTGTTTGCTGTTCAGAGAGAGAGAAGGCTTTTATAGCATTTCAACCAGAAATCGTTTTTCTGCAATTCTGTTCTTATTTTTCCATAACCAAGGTTGGAACTTGGAAACAACATGTGGTGTCTAAGTGACGTAGAATTTGGAACAAAGAAGATCCACTCGCGTTCTGATTTCATGATTCACTATGCGGAAGGATAAAAATTAAAGCCATGCATGCTGTCATGCTCTCTCTATAGTGAAGGAAGAAAAAAATCATGCTTAATTTTATGCTTTCATCAAGTGATTATTAATGCTACAATTTATTGTCGCTCCAGATCGATTTCCAACTAACACATTTACAAATTAACGACATATCTATGTATCTCTACATGAAAAAATTTAGGTGTTATTTACACAATAATTGTGTAATATGTGATGCAGTTGCCTTTCATCTTCCTGACATTAGATTGACAAGAGCTTGATTTTCATAGAAGGAGCCAACATCCCAATCCTCTGTCGCGGATGAAAGAGTCATTAAGGCAACCACAATAGATCTCATACTCGGCCGCAACTGAGGATTCTCTTGAGTGCATGCCTTGGCAAGCTGGGCCATCTGGAACCAAAATAGGCACATAACCTTAATCTAGACTGCAGAAACAGGATCTTGATATATATTCCCATAAGAAGTTTGTTTACCTTGCAAACTGAATCAAGAGGATAGTCTTCACCAAGCCTTGGGTCAACTAATTTCCGAAGGTCTTCTCTAGGATCAGGCTGATTAAGAGCATCTTCAAACTGTAGAATTAAGTGAAACAAAAGGTCAGCTTGTGGGTGTTTTCTGGAGGAATTCAGAAGCCAGAACCGTGAGGTGAAAAATTAAGGAATATAAAATTGTAATTCACTTTGTCTGGTTCAGCATTGATTCAAGCTTCAGCAGAGATTGACCTAAAGTAAATTAATCCAATCTATTAACATCGGAAATTAATAGACATAAGAGAAATGGCAGGAAATTAACCAATGCAACGAGGCCCCTTGATTCAGCACCAGAACCATCTGTCCTGACGATAGCTTCCTTAGCAGAAATAAGTTCATAGAGGACAACCCCAAATGCGTAAACATCTACTTTTGGAGAAACATCACCATATTGCGCATATCTGCAAAGAAGCGTAGGAAATTTTAATCCATGTTTCGAAAAAATAAAGAAATATCACTTAAATTTTTGTCCCCTGTCTGCTAGATGCATAACATACCCTTACATCTATTCTCATAAACTAAATTTTCATTTTCAAACTACAGTGACTTCATCATACATACTTCTATCTTCGTTAGATTTATAATTATAATCTTACTTGGCTGCAATGGTGCTGTGCAAACGTATCTTCACACTATGTAAACAACTCTTATGCAATACAGTCAGAGTCCTCCATACAACTCAATGATTCTTTTTTTTACCACACCGATTTCATGCCTGAACTCTTTTCATTTTTTATTCCATTTTTCGTTTTGCATTCTGGGCATGAATTATAAACTGGGAGATCAACCTCCCATCCCATACCCCTCCCTGCCTGGCAACAACCCTCACGGTTTGAAAAACTTTGGATTTCCAAGGAGGTTCATGCCATCAAAGTACATGGATAATAGATGCAAATAGCCTTCCAATAGAAACGTTTTCATTGCCACCTACATATGCAATTTACTGATCCTACATTAAATTCTGTCAGTCTCCAAACAATGACACTTACAAATATGCAGGCAAGAACAAGGTAAAATCACACAGCTCATAAACATTTCGTTTGCTCTGACACAGGTTTTGGGCTCTTGTCCAAACAGTTATAGATGGGAGAAAGTTGCTAAGAAATTGAGACCAGCCAGGTGTTAGCTAAACAGGATCCTATCTAAAACCTATTCCAAAGTTCTTTTCTTATAGAATCTTTATAGGAGAAAATGTCTTACTCTGGCGGCATGTACCCAAAGGTACCCACAAGACGAGTAGGGATTGATGCACTTCCAACCTCAGTCAGTTTTGTTAATCCAAAATCTGCAACCTGAATGGTAATGGAAATAGTATAACTATGTGAAAAAGGTTTTGAAATGGAACAAGATCATGACAAAAATATCAATCCAACCTTTCCTCTGAATTTCTTGTCTATCAATATGTTTGCCGATTTAATGTCACGATGAATATAAACAGGGACAGTATGCTCGTGGATGTATTCAAGGCCTCTAGCTGAATCAAGGGCAATTTGCACTCTTGTAGACCATGTCATTGGATCCTTTCCTGCAAACAAACAACACTTTTATCACTGCCATTTTATGTGTCTACTACCACCAGAAACAATGTTCAAAATGGACATATAGTCTCACCAGAGCCACGCAAATGCTGGCTTAAGTTTCCATTTTCAATGTACTCGTATACAAGGAAAAGAGAACCCTCAACACAATATCCTATTAATCGGACCTGCAGTAAATGTAGATAGTACTATTTAGTGATAAAGTACAAGTAAGCATTATTTAGTGAATTGAAAATACTAAAGAGCTTGTAGCCCAATGGTAGTGGTCTCTTGCAACAAGAGATCATTGGTTCAAATCCTAACAGACTAGTCTAGTAAGAGCCTTGGGTGTGAGAAGAGAAAAAAAAAAAGTGAATCGAAAATTAAGAAAACTTCAAAATTTTACAAGGCCATCTATGCAACTCCATTGTGCAGATACACAAACTCAAGTGCACATACAGCTATTGTATTCACTTTCATAACAATGGTAATTAAATAATTAGCTGACATGCAAAAATCCTTCCTGCAAGACATCCATCAATTATTTTTACAATCTCAGATCCATGAATATATTAACCAACATAAATTCCTTCCAGAAATAGATAAAACCATTAAATCTTAGCCAACAAAAATTCCATTCAGGAAAAAAAAAATTATGTTACATGGCAGAGTGCATCTAAAGGTCTATGATAGATCCGGATATAACATGAGCACATTTCTTAACTAGAATATGATCTCAAAATTCCATATCCCTATGCCACGGTAGACCTTCCTATTATCTACGTCGTATAGGATGGATTTATGATGAAGCAGACATAAAATTAGATCATGCTCCCATGAAAGAGACGGACAGTGTTCAAGATTATATTGCCTGTTAGAAAGCTGCTGTGTTGGGTAGATGCATGGCTTCAGCATCCGCATTGGGCCTGCACTCATGAGGGCTTACGTACAATGATGGACACCACTTCCAACCCAAAAGCCTAAACTGGTTGGTTATGGGTCCATATTGCAAATAAGCCGATGTGAGAATTTCACTCACATATGCCAACATTGCTGAAAAAAGAGTGCAAGGTTTTGTGAAAAATAAGTAGATTGATCCCTATTTACATCAAAAGTGATGTAAAGGGATAGCTGGTCCAGTAACTTTGTCAAAGTTCCTAAGCAGGTGAATATAGGCTGTTTCTACTCACTTGTCCCAGAGCAGAGAATGCAAGGCCAACAGTGCTTTCCTTTGGAACTGTGCTAAATTGAAAAATTCGTGAAATTAACTAAAGGATAGGACGATAACGTCTCCAATTTAAAATGTAGACCTAAAACGGTTTATCTCAAGAACTTTCCAGCAAATGATTATTAGCCTAAATGAAAATGCATTACATTTTCTTAAGTACAGAAAAGGAGCTAGCACCAATTCTTGTTCATAAGCACAATCTATATTTCTTGTAAAATGGGTGCTTTACCAGGTTCAGGTGGTGAACATTTGTTAAAACCTTGAGCTCAGCTAAAAATTCTTTTGATGCTTGCATGTCCATCTTCTTGATTGCAGCTTTCTGCATAAGGAGTCAAAAGAACAAATTTTAGAATGGAAATTCACACACACACACACATGTAATAAGTACCCAATAAACATTTGCAGGCACCTTGTTAGGGTTGAGGATTTGGTCGGTTTAGTTGGAAGATGTCTATCTTTTTTGGTTAAAAAATTCAAAATGCTAAAAAGCTGGATCCAAACTGAAACAAATTGAACCAGTTCCATCCAGTTCCATTTAAAAAATATGCACTGATTAAAAATGCACGATACATTGATCATGGCTCTTTAGTAGAGGTACATCACTTTAAGGCTCTTTAGATTTTCCAATCCATTTATTTGTTATATAAATGCATGATAAATTGATTACAAAATAAAAAGCAATTCCAAGAATATAACTAGGTTTGTTGATTAGTTTACTTCAACTTCTCCAAAGCCAAACAGAACTCAGCATTTAAGACTATATATTTTTCTTCCAAATTAAACCAAAACCGAAACAACTGATCTGAATCTATTCATGTTGTGCAAAAAACCCACAAAAATCAAGCAACAGCACAAAATAAAAGGGACACAAAAATTTAATTTGGTTCAGCAAAGCCTACTCAACAAAACTTCGCTATCAAACATTGGTTACAATCACTACACAAATACCTCATTATCCAAAATCCGATTACATCCAAGAAATCTTCACTACACAACTACTGTGCCTCACAAACTAATAGTGTAAAAGACAACCCTTTCACAAAACCACCAGATACAGCATGCACCAAAGAATTCTAATTCTTAAGATTTATATGGCTGCTCCGACACACCATCAATATTGGAGGCACAACTAAACTAGCCACAACACATTCTATTCATACTAACAACAAAGTCCTTCCTTCAGGAAAATAATCCTTCTTTGACTAAAGAATACACTTCAAGCCCAACTCCTAAACAGAATATGTCAACATAATTCATTCTTGTTTAGGACACCACACGTGCAATTACCAATGTAACCTAAGCCAGCTCACCAGTTTAAGCCATATTTTAACAATTCAATTGAGTCGGTTCAGAAATTCATGTTGAAAAAATCTCGCTCACCCTTTATGCGGATTTAAGTCAAGAAATTGTAAGAAAAGAAAAGGAGTGGACCTCAATCCTTAAGAACACAGAGCACATTAAGAAAGGTAGATGCACCAACGACTATCTCCATTCAACACAGGCAGATGCTAACAGTTAAATGCAGTTGTTCATCTGCTTGTTCCATTCACTCAGTAGAATACTTTTCATTCATTTCCAGAACTAGGATTCCTAGTTCTAATGAGCTAATGACTAGGCAACATAGCTTATATGCAGTTGGTTCTAGGACTCCGATGTTCAGCAAACACAAATCTTTCTAAAGCAGGTAAAAGCATATGATATGGCATGTTCAAATTAACAAACCATAGTCTTGTCCGTTCACATTAAGTGTTTAATATAAATGTGGCAAAGTGACATTATCCTAAACTCAAAATATGCTGAATAAGCTTGTCCTCAATAACATAACTATAAACGACAATAAATGGGTCTGCATGGCTGTTTCATTGGAGATCAATCCTTCATGGTCATGTTATGTAGTAGGATGCGAGATTATAACTACCTTCCAGTATAAAAATAGGAAAAAAGACCAGGCACCCCCTTATCTTTAAAAACTCAGTAAAGGTGCCAAACTAACTCAATCTCAATAACTCACGGAAAATGCATGATGTTATGTCATTACTTTAACAACTAGGATCATAAATAAATAAATATTCCAGTAATTACCAACCTCGCCTCTCAGTTCTGCATAGTATACAGACCCAAAGCCTCCTTCACCAATCTTATTTGCCAGACTAAAGTCATCGGTGGCCTTGGCAAGTTCTTCGTAAGAGAATTCCACTGATTTGTCCACAGTTATGCCTGTAAGACCTTGGGACCCAGTTGCATCCACAGGTTTATCAGAGTTACTTCCAGGTGCTGAAGCAAGACAGGGGATTGTTTAACATGTTTAGTCATCCACATGATTTCATTTTCTCCAGAAGAATAAGAGAATCAAGAACCGGTAAGATGAGATGATTATGTTTCAATGCATTTGCACAAGGAAAAAGAGCAACCATAAAGTGAAGCATGATGGCCATGGTACTCAGAACAACAAGCATTGAAGAACTATCATAATCTGTGAGATAGGACTGAGTTACTAAACGGTACACTGAATAAGTATGACATGTATGCTGCAGCAATAGAGGTATTTTTGATGAAATGTCACAGTTGCATTGCAAAGTCGATGAAGTGTTAGTGATCTGAAAATCGAACTATATTGACGGGATAAAAGACTTGTACTAAAATAAAGCCCATAATTAGCAATTACACATTTCGAAACAAAAACTTTGGGGAACGCTGCATGATATTTAGCCATACTTGGGAGGACTGCAACCATGTTCCATAATAAAATATAATCAGCTCATGCCTCATGCAAAACTGAATCCTAATGTTCTCTCCAAAGGAAGTAATGCAAGAAAAGCTTGTTGAAACCAGTTGATTCTTTAAGAACTCTTCAATCATAAATAAAGGAAAGGGATGATGACAGAAATACCATGCACAATTCGTGGAGAGAGTTGTTGAGATGCCAACAGCAATTCTGCCTCCTTCTCCTTCTTCTTTCGGTAAAATCCCACAAATATAAGAACTGCCAACAACAGTGCCACAGCTACTGCTGCTAAAGATATGCCAGCAATAGCTCCACCTGCTATTCCTGGTTATAGGAAAGTACAACGTCAGCTCAAAGTAGCAACAACTTTGCATTTTAGCATCCTAAATCCACTTCCAAACAACAAAATGAAGAATCATAAAAAAATCGGCACGCAGAGAAGCCCAAAGCACCTGTGCTGCAAAAGGGAAAAACGAAAAACAAAAGGAAATAAATTACAGACACGTAATAATTCGTAACCACCCAAAATGAACAAACAAAAAGTAAGATCCAAGAACAAAATTAGAATATAGAGTTAGTTAAAAAAAAAAAAAAGTTACCTCGACTTCAAGGGCCGGTAGCTACCATCTGCATCTGTAAATAAATAAACAGATTTGGTAAGGCAAATCGATAGCATCCAACAGCAAAAATATCATTTCATGCATCAATAAATAGCTTTAGAAATAAACATAGAATTATTAATCCGGACCATGAAATATAAACTAAATTCTCCAAAAGAATACCCCAATATTTATTTGTATTTTCTAAACCAATTTCCCAAATTTAATTACCCAACTAATAATAAAAAACAAAACACTATCTCTCGAATTCTTTCTAAAAATAATCAAAGAAAAAGAATCACCTTTGGTTGGGATATAAACCACACCACTCCGTCGACTAAAATCGAAACCAACATTATACCGCTGCAGCAAGTCCGTCGTAACATTGGCCTGATTGGCAATCGACTCCAAATTATCATCGGGTCGGAGCGGGTATGTATTAAACAAGCCGTAATCCTTAGAAACTGTGCTATCCCCACACGAACAATTAACAGTCACATTAAGCACTCCGTTATCCGGTATATTAGTCTCGGGGTAGCTATTGAAGTGAAGCAACGACGAAACCGTGGTCAAATTGGCATAGTATGTATTGGCGACCTGACCATAGGTATCGTTAGATCTGACGTTGTAGTTGAAGACGTGGCCTAGGAATTCACCGTTGATGCAGTCGCAAGGGAACGGGATGTTAATCCTGATGAAAGCTTGGAGGCTGTCTTTGTTTGGTACTTGAGGATTGTAAAGGAGGATGGTGTCGAAATCCGATGATTTTAAGATGCTTGATTGCATCACTTGGGCAATGAACGAGAGTTCTGCTCCTTGCCAAACATAGTAGGATGCTAGAGCCAAATCGCAGCCTTTGCTGCACTTTGATTCGATTGAATAGCTGAATAACAGTAGAAGAAGAAACCCTAACCCTGATTTGGGATTCATTGATTCGAACAATCCTTGCTCAGGAGGAGGAGGAGGAGGATGAACTGGAGATACAGGATTTTTATTCTTATTTTGATTTGTTGACCGTTGACTTGTGATTTTGGGTTTTAAGTGTAACAGTTCATTTTTTATTTTATTTTTTTCAAGAAAAAGGAGGGAGGGTGATTAGTTGAACTGGTCACGATGAATAATTACTTAATGGTTATTAAACGGTGATTGTTAGCGGCCGATGCTTGACGTTGTCGTCTTCCGTAAATTCCCCGCGGTTTTCAGTTAAGCTACCAGGGAGAAAAAAAAAAAAAAAAAGAGCTTGAAATTGATTTTGGCGGTACACGTTAGCAAATGGAAAGTGAAGGAAGCGCGGTGGCTGCTTTGCTTCACCTCTTCAAATTGGACACGCACAAGCCAAGGGGTTTTGATAGTTTCAAAAGTCTCTCTGTTGGTTTGTTTGTTTTTTTCTAGATGAATTCAATGGTCAAATTTGCTTAATTGCGGACATATTGTTAGGATAAATATATGTATTTGCTCTCCTTTTTATTTTGATGAAAATAAATTATATAATATTGACTTTGTGGTGTGATTTTTATTTTTTATGATTATTTTGTTTTTTTCTCGATGGCACCTTCTAATTACTGCACCATGAAAAAAAATATATATATTGAAAGTAACGGAAAGCAAGAGTTTAGGAGTCGTCACATTCGAATTTTAAAATAAAAGAATTTGGACTGAATTAAAACAGTTGAAAGACTCAAATGCATTTACCTTGACAACTTAATTAATGAAGAATATACATGCTGGCATACGAAGCCATGAAATTTTTCCAATCCTGAAACTCAATCACTGAAGTGCTCATGAGACAAGTCAAAATTTTCTCTTTTTTTTTCTTTTTCTTTTTTGCTTTAAGGGTCGTGAATTAAATTTAAAAATCTTCACATAAACTAAAAGTCATAATGAACATCATATAAATTAATGTCATAAATAATAAAGCCATTGATGAGAAGTCTTTCTCTAATACAGTCCAACAAAAAAATACCTGTAAGTCAATAATTCTAAATCTCATAATTTTCAATTAAAACTCATGATTTATCAATTTGAAACGCCTATTCTTTTGAAAAAAAGCTACCCCTCATAAAAAAACTCTAGAATTCTCTTACAGGAGGGCACTCCAATACTTCTATTTAATAAAAGATTTTTAATGACGAAATCAATCAGATTAATATTTTTTATAACCATACAAACACAACTATGAAATCAAATACAATAATGACAAAACATTTATATCTATGGACTCCTTCGCTAATTGAAGAGAAAATGACACTCATGTCCCTTCTGTAATACAAGTTGCTTTTGCAATTGTTTATATAAAAGCATAAACTCTCTCAAGAAAAAAGAGGTTGGTTCTAATATAAACATCCGCAAAAAAAAATTTAAATAGTTTTTAGAAACTCTTCAAACTGGTTCATTATGTACAATATCCCATCTTTTTATATATATATATATATAAACTAGTACATGATAGCATAAGATATTTTATAAATCAATTGATCATTTTTTTATTATTAACTTAAACGTCGAAAGATCTCTCATCTAATTAAGAGAATTTGTTTTGTAAGTACAAAGCTTAAAGAAAATTTTACCATATTCCATTATCATAAAACCAATTGACTTAACTGTTGGAAGATATTTTATAAACCAATTGACCACTTCGTGATTATTAACTTAAACGATAGAAGATCCCTCGTTTAATTAAAGGGATTTATTTTATAGGTACAAGGCTTAAAGGAAATTCCATCATATTTCACGGTCATGAAATAAAACAAGAGTTACCACCATCTTAAGTCATGTATCTTAAATTTGTTAAACAAATTGATCAAAGATTCGCCAGCTATTATATAAATGATTTAAGAATATTTTTTTATTAATTATTTTTAATGGTTTAAGAAGTAATCACGAAGATGATTATTTTTATGAATTTATTTGATTTGTGTTTCATCTTGCTTATTTAATTAAACAGCAAATCATGAAGAGTCGATCGTGTAAGAAATTTTTCAATAAAAAAAAACTCTTATAAATTATGTTTAAGCTAAAAATGACGGTTTTACAATATTACTAGCTTTTAACTGTGAATATATTTGTAATTTTAGCCGTTAAAATGTAAAAAAAAAAAAAAAATTTGGTAATGTATACTGTTAAAAATATTTTTATACTATATAAAATTCAAAAAATCCAAAAAAAATTATTTTATAGTTCTTAACTTTTAAAAACAGCTTTTTTAAAAAAATTTATCTAACGCCTGTTTCAATGATGTTTGGAGAAGAAGATCCAAAAACCAAAAGAAAAGACAAGCCGAATTTTGGAAATCCTCAATGACTAGCTGCAGCACAGTAAAAGCAACGATCCGTGCAAAACGATTGAGGTAAGTCGACGTGTCCCCATGTAGCGACTAGGGAGGATTGTAGATTTTGGGACCAACCTGAGGGGTCACAGCTGCATCAAACAGTGAGTAATGGACAAAAAATCACCTGGCACAACGGACATGTCAGAGGTTGGGGCGATGTTTGGAGTTGAAATGGTCCAACATTTTATAAGTTGTTTATTTGTTAGGGAAATGATCTAGTCACACAGATGCTTACGCTGTCCCACGCCAATGTATAAGTACAATTTGGCCCTGAAATTTTATAACTATGCAAACAAATACTTAAACGGAAAAGAAATTTTACCTTCTTCTTATTATGTTTTAGTCCTTTCGACCTTCAAGAAATTATACAGGTAACAAATATAATTGGATCCTTCAATTTAAAAATAAAAATTACGTTATTATTTATTTAAATTGGACATAAGATATATACTATTATAAATAAGATATTACGAAAGTAACACAATTGTGTTATTTTTCTACTAACTTCCATATCAAATAAATCGGTGATAAAAGAAAAACATGCTAAATGAAAATGACGAGAGTATCTTAAAAGTTAGAATGATTTTTTTTTTAAGAAATGAGTTTAATGATAAATACTTTTAAATGAAAAGCTATTAAAAAGATCAAAAAAATAATATCTTGCGTGCTAAGAAAATAAGAGTTTTTCTAAAAGAAAAAATGAATTCAATATTTTTTTGGTACAATTTTAAATACTGAGGAACTGTTTGAAAATTATCAGTTAGATTAGGTTTGTTTGTATTGGATAAAAATTTAGGAATTTTTTTAAATTAGAGCCTAGACTAAATTTGTAGAGGATTATAGCAAAACTTAATCCCTATTAACAATCAATTTTTACAAAAATTCGTTTACAAGAATATTCCTAGCATTGTTAATCACACATACTAGACCCAATGTATCGGGCCTGTGCTAATTGAAAGAGTGCGATTTCTCTGGGCTAACTTGCATTTGCGTATTGGGCTTTACACGCATACTGGACCTAATATTTTAGGCCTCGTCGTGGGTCATAATTTTCGTCTCTCTTTGTTACATGAAATGGCACGTAATCATAACAGACAAGCCGTAAATTAAAGATATCCCTTGTCATCGAAAAAAATAATTAAAAAAATAAAAAACTTACATGAATTCAGATTTTCACAATACTTTTCTTTCAAGAAATTTTTGAAGGGGAGTTTGAGATTCAAGGAGCTTCGAAAAATATTATTGATATTTAATCCATACAAAATATGTGAGTCACTTGTTAAGTCTATAACCATACCAGCATGAGAAATTTTGAAATATTCTTAAAATAACTATCAATAGTTATTCTATAAGAGAAATATAAATACAAAAAAATTAAAATTATTTTTTAATTTAAATGAAGATATTTTTATCATTTTTATTAGATATGAATGTTTTTTTTTTTTTTTTTGTCTCTCTTCTTAAAATAAACTTATGAAATAACTATTATACGCATTGGTATGGTTTTTTTTTTTTCTCCCGATAAGTATCAAGAAGTTATGGATTCAATTCTTAGTTCTTACTGAAATTGAGCTTGTTTGTATCCAATGCCAAAGATGTCGAGTTATCCTCTCGTGTATTGCCACCGTCAAATTAACACCCTTTTTCTTCTAACACGACAACTAACCATTATTTACATTGGTCCGTTAATATATATATGTATATATATCAACTAGTTAACTAAGTAAAAATGTCAAAGCGCTTTTAACGATTACAACTACCCACCTTTCAAATTATATACGTATAACTAAAAGAAGCGAGATATGTTCACGAGTAAATGAATAGCGATGAACAACATTTTAGTTTTTTTATATTCTTTAGGTTTTTTTTTTTTTTTTTTTCTGGCTGGGCTGACCATGGCTAAAGCCTTGCTCTTGGGCATGCACGCATCGGGCCTTGGTCGCTTAGCACGGCCTCTTTCTCACTTTATATATATATAATAGTTTTTTTTTCCGGTAAGTATCAAGAAGTTATGAATTCAATTCTTAGTTCTTACTTGAAATTGAGCTTGTTTGTATCCAATGCCAAAGATGTCGAGTTATCCTCTCGTGTATTGCCATCTGTCAAATTAACACCCTTTTTCTTCTAACACGACAACTAATCATTATTTACATTGGTTTGTTAATATATATATGTATATATATCAACTAGTTAATTAAATAAAAATGTCAAAGCACTTTTAACACTTACAACTAACCACCTTTCAAATATTAACTAAAATACTAAAAGAAAATGATCATTCACTCTGCATTTCTTCTATGTGTTATACTTGTAGCTCAACATTATTGTCTACTTTTTTTCTTTATGTTTTATTGTAGCTCAACATCCCATTTTATTGTCTATTCTCACTCATCTCCATTGTTTATTTTAACTCGGTTAGACTAAAAGAGAATGATCATTGTACGTACATTTCTCTATAGCTCAAGACCTAATTTTACTATTAATTATCACTCATTTCTATTATTTATTGACATTTTTGCACTTTGATCTCTCATTTTTTAGAACAAAAGTTGTGATCTCAAACGCCAATGTATTGTAATTTGATCCTAAAATGCTTATAAGG